AGAATCATTCAAGCAGGTGTGATTATTCAAAATATCTTAGAAAGGGAGACCAGGCCAGTTGCGTAAAGGGTTTAGAGTAGTCTTACAAATTAGTCATCTAATTTTTTTCTTTAAAACTGGTCATCATTTTTTTTTTTATTCGGTTACATAAAAGCATTGATTAGTCTAAGTTGAATCCAAAAATAAGACTGATTACCCCTTGGCTAACAGCTAGAGGCTAAGTTTATGCAACTGGCCCCTACTAGGTTTCATAAAACTTCCATTTTTGAGCCTCAAATGGTAAATGTTATCTTTTTAAGTTGAATATAACTCATAACCTCTTTAACCCATCTACCGTGTGTTGGAGGATCAGCCCTTTTCCACTGTAATGGAATTAAATGCCTTGCTAATGTAAGGATAAAAGAAACTCAGAAATGTTGAGAAACAAACAATACACTGGCATCTTCAAGACACCCCACAGAGGGGTGGTGCAGGAAACGCCTCTCTCACATATGCATCAGTTTCTTTTTATCTCCTCCCTCCGTTTAATTCACTCAGAATGGTCAAGACTATAATGTTCTATATGAATGCAAATAAGATTTACAGTCATGTTTGGTTTCATTTGAATAGTCTCAGGGTGAGTGGTACAATGGTCTCAATCTTACAAAAGTAGAATAAAAGATAATACAGATCCTAAGAGTTAAGAGATATTTTGCTTACTGTAATGGGAGTGCCGCCACAAAACCTCTGGCTAAGGGTCAGACTGGCAAGTTTGTGATCGTGGAGCCCACGCGTAGCGGCCGCCGTGAGGCATTCTAAATGACATAGATTCCTAATCAACGAGTAAAATATAAGTAAAGAGTTAACTAGAAGAATCAAATGTCAGAATAATTAGAAACCGACAAACAACCAATTTGCCTTTCAACCTACATTCGAGGTCATACTAAAATGGAGTCAGATGAAATAATAAAATGGAGTCAGATTGAGTTAAACCTAAATTGAATAACTCTGCGCGCTGAAAAGACCGAACACGCAAGAGACCTTCATCCGCCACTGGCTACCTTCCTTGGGCCAAGTGTGTGGACCTTACAAAGTGGTGCCCCCGGACGTGATCTCCCTACACTAAAAGTGAAGTAATGCCAATAAACGTATATATATCTTTCTTCTCTATACCCAAGATGGCTATTGGCTAGGGGTCAGGATTAATAGTAATATCAAAAATATACTAAAACCAAAGATATTTTTTATAGAACTCAAAGATCTCCCTCCAAAATTCCTCCAACCTGGGACAAGACCAAAACATATGAGCTGTTGTGGCAGGTGAGTGCCGAGCACCTTTTACATGCAGAACTAACAATGGGATAAATCTTTGCTAATTTTGAGTTGAAATGGAATCTGATAAGTATTTTAAATTGGACAAGAGCTGCATAAAGTCTCTCCATAAGTCTCTCCATAAAGTCTATGCCCAAATCACACTTCCAGGCTGTCTGAATACTCTCTAAATTTTGTGCATCTATAGAGGGTTAAGAGATAGCCTACTGTAAGGCTAGCTGTGCATTAAACGATTTTAATGCACAACACGGAGGCAAAGAACCACCCGACGAGAAGCGGAGAAAATCGTTTAATGCACAGCTAATCGTGCATTATCCATCTTATACCATTGTCTTATACCAACTTATACCACTTATACCCCCCTGTGCACGCCACTAACAAACAATGTAGCTGCGAGTTTAGTTACTTCAAAAACTGTGATTTTACATCCTCGTTGAACAGAAATATATTGTAGCGATTCAGTATAGAATTATTTTATTAACAAAAGTCGCGGGGCAGCGTTGACTGCAAGTTTCTGTGCTCCTGAATGTTTCTGTGTGCACAGCGCGATCTCCGATCTCTGCGTGCGAGTGTTTAGGCCTATGTGTTTGTGTCAGGTTTGTGTGCATCAATTAAAGCAGCACATTAATATAGAACGGTGATTAAACTGATGGTTTTAATGCATACCAGCCAGCCAATCAGAATTGAGTATTCAGGCAGTCCATGGTATAATAGAATATATGCCTGAAATGAGTCCCTTGCTGTTTGTATTCAAATCAAGCAACACTGGAAAGGAGTTACTTTCATAATAAAGCTCCTGATTTGTATGAATCTGAAAAAAATAAGATCTGGGCAGAGTAAATCGATCTTCAAGCTCTTCAAAAGTGCAAAAGAATAATTATTAATAATTAATAATTATCGTTGTGACGAGTGGGGGTGGCGGGGCCGACAGCCGTGGGAACGGAGCGAGGCCGGTGGTGTAATTGATGATGAGCGACACCTGCACCACTCACCGGTCTCGAGTCCCACGGAGGAGCTCCGGAAGGATAAAAGGAGGAGTTACGACAGTGAAAGACGAGAGAGGACCAGGCCTGGACTTTATTTTGTGTTTTGTGTGCGGCAGTCGTCCGCTAGGGGCTGCCGCTATGCTTTCATTTTGTGTTTGTTTATTTTATTAAAATCTTAAATGTTCACCAGTTCCCACCTCCTTCTTCCCGACCTACGAACGTTGTTACAATTGTGTTATTTAAGAATAAATCTTTTGAGACCCTGATCCCTTTCTGTTAACAAACACGGAATGCAGATTCTAGGCTACATAGAATGGGATGGAATAAACAGTTAGAAACAATGGGCCCAGAACAGAGGCTTCCTGCAAACCAAAATGTTTCCTAAACTGGGGGACCAGATTTTCAGAGTGTGTGTAACTAGATTTTGAGAACTGATATAACGCTTCCCTATTAGAGAGAGTGAGGCATATATTAAGGATCTAAGATGAAATGATTGTTCCCCTTGCACCCACAGTAGGGCTAAACATTTAAATATTTTATGAAAAGGAAAATATGAAATATTTAATAATAATATAAATATTTTGGTGTAAAGTTTTAATAGATATATTTTAGTATATATAATCTTGTCTTAAATACCCATGCAAGAAACATTTTCTTTTTTCCTCCTTTTTTAAAATTTTGTTTTTAAACTGAACAAAACACAGTATGATAATATGACAAAATAGCTTTCAAAGGAAAAAATCAAGAGCACAAATAAATAGATCAATATAATAGTGATTTTTAATATTATTATTAATATATATATTTTTTTTTAAATGCAACTTACTTTTATTTTAACATTTCCTTATAACATTTATTTAAATATTTCCTTCATGCCTAAAAAGGAAACTCCTGTGCATGGGAAACGACATGAAAAACAAAGAAAACATCAACTGTTTTTCAAGGGCGATGCCAATCGATTAATTTATTAAAATGAAAACATTAATTTAATGATAATTAAAGATTAATTCTGACTCATCCGAATCTCTGCCTAACCCGCATTCTCTAATTCCATCATCCGTAATTTGCTCTGATGTTGACGTCATCACATGCTCCCACCATCAACCCTCATTTTTTTATGTGCATAAAGTGTAAAAGTGATGCAGTGAAAACCTGTCAAAGTAACTCCTGGAGGCACGTTTCTGCAGTTCTGCACACAGTGGGAGTTCTGCTTGTTGCTTAATGACTGACATACATTTCTGTCTGTTCCTCACACAAAACTATTATAAATTTGTTTCTGTTCCTCACATAAAACTATCATATGGCTTGAGAAAAACTGAAATATAGTGCACAAGTCATATGCATCACTTTCATGATTGTTTTAAAGTGCTTATGCATTATTTTTGAGCCTTGAAAGTCTCAGTCATGGTGTATTCATTATAAATTATTACTCATTCCTCTGAGTAATAAAGAGTAAATAAAGAGTGACAACAGTTAGCATTACCTACAAATATTTCATAACGCCCTAAGCACACCTCATACTCTGGGGCTTTCCCTTGATTTATTTTGTTCTAAGATGAAGAAAATAACAAATAGTACAACCAAACTCTAATGGAAATCCTAACTTTAAAAAATGCAACATTTACCATTTTATAACTGAATAAACCAGTTATACCATTTTGAGAGGAGGTGTTTTAAGCGCTGAAAATTTCTTCAGCATTTCATAAAATAAAAAGATTTTGCTGTAGTACAACTTTGTTAATTGGTTAAATTTAAGTTACATTACTATTTAGTCATTAATATAATATTTTATTAGACAACATGTATTTTAACTTGAAGGTCACCTAATTTTAGCTGCTGCAGTGTATTATATTTAACAAGACAATACGTGCATTTAAGGTAAAATATTGTTAAAACAATGTTTTTTTATGAGTAAAAAAGTATAAATGGGCATTCCCAGAATTCTCTGCACAAACCATCACATTTATTTAAATGTTAAGTTATTTTCTTCCTGATTTTGTTATTAGCTTTGGGCACTGGGGTGTTTTATAGTGCACTTTACATTTCGTTATTTTAAGTTAAATAAGACTATCCTGTAATGTTAGTGACGCCATCGCTGTGTTTTACCTGCAAGATTTAATCACAAATTTAACCAAAAATGATTATCGTGTTGCCATTGTTTGTGCGTATAATACATAGACACGCTTTTATTAATATTAATCATTACTTAATATTGTCATTAAATAAAGGTATGAGGAAGAGAAATAATATTAATACCTGGGCGAGGAGGAAGAGGCTGTGTCAAGCTGAAAATCCTGTTATAATTGCCTTGCCTGTCAGTTTGATGGTTTAATTTCACCTGTTGCTCAACACCTCACAGTTTTAAGAGTATATAAGTCGTCATCAGACCTTTGTCAATCAGAAGCGAAGCACACAAGCAGAAGAAGCAACTCTCAACATGGGGATTCGCCGCCAGCTGTGTTTTCTTGCGAGCTTGGTGCTTATTCACGCTGGACCGATTTTAAAGCCTGCTGACAAAAATAAAGCCATTGCAAGGGTATGTTTTTTTCCCCTCATATAATACTTGTTTGTAAGCTTTGCAACTGGCCATAATTTCTTCAATAATTACATGTTTGTTTGCCTTTTAGGATTACCTGAGAAAATTCTACAATTTGGAAGATGTAATGGGCACTACTCATTTTCGCCCAGAAGAAGAGATCGAGCCACCGTCCGATAAGCTGAAAGAGATGCAGAAGTTTTTCGGGCTTAAGGTCACTGGAACTCTGAATAAAGAAACACTGGAGGTGATGAAGAAGCCCCGCTGTGGAGTTCCAGATGTTGCTGCGTACTCCACATTTGAAGGCAAACCCAAATGGCAGAAAAACAAGCTCACCTACAGGTGTGTGTAATAGCAGTTCTCTTTGCATGACTGGAAAAAGAAAGAGTGAAAGAAGCAGATACAGATTATGGTCCTTTTTCACAGAATCGTGAACTACACCCCTGACATGTCAATACCTGAAGTGGATGAATCCATAAAGAAAGCCCTGCAGGTCTGGGCCAATGTCACTCCTCTGAGATTCACTCGTATCAACAAAGGCACAGCTGACATCATGATCTCCTTTGCTACAAGGGGTAAGATACATCTATCAATTTATCTATATTCATATTTTAACAACCATGTGCTTTTCATTTTGATGAATTCTTTTGAACTAAATTCAAACTTGGTATTTTGGCAATATACATGTTAAAAGCAAGTCCCGATTAGATTCAGAACCGTTCAACTCAATTCAATGCACAACAATTCAGTATTTGTAAAATACAGATTCTCAACGTTTCACCTATATATGAATGTAAGGAGAGAAGAAGTCAACTAAACTCTT